AGAAAATTCTCAGAAAGTAGTTTCATTTATGACTTACCCTAGGAATAATGGTTAATGAAAGCCCCAAATTGTTAATTGAAGGAATAATCATTGCATTGTTTAAGTCCGTTGGTCAGCATTCTCTTTAACATGTGGCTGTGTAAAGAATCATAATTCAACATTTACATTGTCTCCAACCTGCTCGGATTACCTAGGAAAAATTGAAATGATGAAATTTGGAATTTTTGCGTTCATATTAAAAGTTCTTCTGATCACTGTCTTTCTATCGATTCCCTATTTCTACTCTCTTGTTCTTTCTTCATTGCATAATTCAGTATATCTACTAGAATTGAAATAATAACTGTAACATCATAGTATTCCAATTGGTTAAGAACGTCACATCTTTGAATATCTAGTCCTTGTCTTAACATTTTTTAATCATCTGACCTGTAGCTATGAAAAACTGTCATTAGGATATTAACTTTTTTTTCTTCCCTCTATCCTCCAGCCCAAATGTCTGCGCTCTTCAACAGATTTTGGGCACCAAAAAGAAATACTTCAGCACTTGTCGGAACTGGTATCAAGGTGCCATCTGTGGAAAGAAAACGTAAGTTCTCATTTTTTTAATGTGCCAGTTCCAAAGACAACACCATGATGTATATAACTTCCCTTGGGAGTACATAGCATTCTTCTTGAAAATACTATCCCAAATTGTGAGAGTGTTTTAAAGAAAAGAAAGGAACACATATGTGAGTGAAGAAATTCTCCTGTATCTCGACAATTACTAGTGGGACTCAGATTTGTCTCTGAATCCACTGTTGTCTGGAGGCCAGAAGGAGGTAGCTCATATGGCCATTTGATTTGGTGGCCAATCTATTTGTGTGAGCAATTGATGATGGCATTTCCATTCCTGGTTTGGCCCTCTTTTATCTTGGGCAAGTCAATTAACTTCTGTGCCTCAGTTTCTTCATTTTATTTTTTTAAAAGTGGGCCAAAAAACAAACTTATTTAAAATATCAGGGTTTTGGAGGCACAAATTAACATTTACCTCCAGTTATTTAGAAATTATCTAAAGTACCCTGGTTCTGCAGTCCCCACCCCCCATGCTGTGGACTGGTACCAGTCCGTGGCCGGTTAGGAACTGGGCACATAGCAGGCGGTGACCAGTGAGGGAGGGAGCAAAGCTTCATCTGTATTTACAGCTGCTCCCCATCTCTTGCATCACTGCCTGAACTCTACCTCATGTCAGATCAACGTGGCATTAGATTCTGCATTATGGTGAGTTGTACAATTATGCCATCATATGTTACAATGTAATAGTAATAGAAATATGCACAATAAATGTAATGCACTTGAATGATTCCAAAACCATTCTCCCTACTCCCTTGTCTGCGTAAGAATTGTCTTCCATGAAACCAGTCCCTTGTGCCAAAAAAGTTAGCGACAGCTGCTCTCATTTACCTCAGACTTTTTATCACAGTTTAAAGTTGGAAAAAACTTGAGTTTCATTTCTTCATTTAATTCAGTGATTCCTGGCTCAAGCTGCCAGATCTCCAGAGATTCACAAAGGTGATAATGGAAACCCACTGTTATATTTAATATTTCAACAGCCAAAACAATGATTATTTTTAACTCATTAGCTTAAAATTGGAGAACATTACTTATTACTTAATAAACATGTTTTTTGGTTTATTCTGCCAATAAGTATTGGCAGAAAAAAATAACAAAATTCCGGACACATAAAGGTTAAAAACCACTCATGTGGTCCAAATTCTTCATTTTACAATGAGGGAGCTCAGTCATGGATATGGTAAGTAATGCAATCAGAGAGGTTTTAATGCCATTCCTAGTCAAGAAAACAGTGGCAATGGCTTCTCCTGTCTTCCTATTCACTTGGCCTCCACCCTCAGTGATGGGTGCCATGAGAACCAAACGATTTTGGAACCTGCTTAGCAGATGATCATCAAAAATTCAGTTACCCTAAATGGGGTAAAAAGATTGGTTAAAAACTTATTTTTAAGCTAATAATATTGGTAAAAATGCTAAATATAAAATTACTTCAACTCTTGGAGACTTTATCTGTGAAACATGGATTTAATACCTATATTATAGAGTTTCTGAGATGACAAAATGAATTGAATGTGAAATTACTATGTAACTAAAACTCATCATATTAGTTGCCCTTCAACTATTTTAAACAAATGCATATAAGTAAGGGGAAAAGGAGTTGTGACAAGGTGCCCATTTGAAATGCATATTATTATCTTTATTTCTAAGTAAGAATCATGTACACAAGGCATATAACCTTCTTAGCTGAGCTGTATTTCCCCATAGTAACCAGATCTGAACCACCACAGGACATTGCTGCCCACTCCCTGCCCATTCGCTTAATAGAGTTTCAACCTAATGTTATTTTTTTGACTTAGATGCTATTCCTATTAGTTTGCAGACATCTGCTAAACGTGTGAGTCATTCATGAAATTATAATTCAAGTCGGTGGCTATAGTGATTTTTGCCATGCTGCAAGCCAGGCCTCAGCTGGAAACTGAAAGGCTCTGGGTTCTCAGCTCTTTGTTCTGTTTGTTCTTGGATACCATGAGGCATATTTGGTAGGCACACTGACTAGATAAGAAAGGACTTGCTCCCCAAAATATTTAAGGAAATCTTTATTACATCCTTCCTGGAAGTTAGAAAAATGTGTTCTCATCTTACTTTAACTGTCTAAATATATTAGAGATGCCAAGGCTTGTACAGAGCGTATGCCAAGATTCTTTCTTGCTTTCCATTAAAAAAAAAAAAAAAATCGCTCCTTTGAAGTCTGGCTTTTTACCAGAAATATAACAGTGTCTCTTTTTTTCAAACACATAGCTTATCTTCCCCAAGCAGCTTCATTTTCACAATCACATTTACATCTGGGCACTGTAATGCTAGTTTCAAATAACCAAAGAAATCAATAATTTGATTATTGATTTCTTACAGACAGGAAGAATGCCTGGCCTGTCACTTGCTTGCTTCTGCTAAGATTTCCAGAGATGTCTCTGGGACTTTATATATCAGTTGACACAAATGTTTGCTTTCTAGTTGACCAGTTGCTTTGGGGATTTGGGGAAAGTAATGAAAAACAAGAAGTTTCCTAGGTTTAAGATGTTGCCCACTATACACAGTGGTCCATTAATATAGTATTTTGTAGACTCCCTTTAGAGAAAGTCAGTGGCATTTTTGGTTGGCATCCCATGAAATTTTAGATACTATTCAGAAAAGACAGATGAATTTCCCCTGTTTAGAGCTGTGCATAGCAACAATTTTTCTTTGCTTTTGCTTTGTCTGTTAACCATAGGGGAGTATTTAGTTTTTCTGTAGCATAAATGTTCTCATTTTTTAGTTTTCAAAGTATGTACTCAGATAACATAATGCTCTATCATCAGCTGAAATTATAATCAGCCTTGTTGGAATTTTCTTATCTGGTTCATCTCTACATGAAGACTGATCTGTCGGTTATATCAGCATGTGTTACAGAAATTTTATTAACAATTTCCTTTTTTATTCTCTATTTTACTTAAAGTAAGTATTATCAGTTTCTGGACTAAGCATATATGGATCTCATTTTTAATCTTTTACAATGTATGTTAAAGCCAATATATAAGCAATGCTTAATCAATCTCCTTGCATCCAAATATTCACATTTATTTATATGGGGATCAATGTAAATAAAATTGTTTCAGGGGCTCTATTAAGGTTTTGCATAAGGGTTCTATATAGCTTGTATATGTTTCCAATACCAACTATTCTTAAAATTATATTAAATTTAGAGAATAACTTAAAATTGGCATTTCCCACTTAACTTTGTCTATATTTTTAATCTATTATCTGTAAGCCCATATTCCATGCTAGAAATTTTTCATTAGAAAAATAGAGAAATAGGAATCCAAGATCCTTAGCAGGAACACAAATCATGGATAATTACTTAATGGACCTGGATTCAATATGAAAACATTTACTTACTTTACTTTTATTTAACTATATAAGATTATCTCTTATACCATTAAAATTTTTGCTTCTTAGAAATTTGCTCTTATTATCATTTTTATCTAAGAAAAAGTTTTTATTCTTATAGTTGGCAATCTTTTCCCATACATGTCTAAATTCTTTCATTCTTTCTTATTAAGTACAGTTATCACAACTAGATAAAAAGGCAGAAAAGAAATAGCATCTAAATTATCTAATTTATGTTTAATTTATTAATTACAAAATAATCTGTTAAGTAATTGTCATAATCTGTATGACATGGAATTTATCAATTAAAAATTATACAATGGTATGTATTTATTTTTTGGTTATAATAGTCACCCTATTTCTAATTATTGTTTGATACATTTATATTCATATTTCTATTGAAAGGGAACATAAATCATTATGTAAAATTTTAATTAAGAAATCATACCTGTGTTAGATCCTGAAGAAGTCCAGAAAATGTTCCATAGAATTTGATAAAATGAAAATCAAGATTAGTTTATAACAAAGTAAAAAATGGAAGCTATTAGATAAATAATTTTAGATTATTACTTTCCCTCAAAATATAGGAAATTAAATAAATTTATTCTGTGTATATCTTTGCTTGAATTTTCTAGTCTGTTGCCTTATTTATTGCCTATAGAACATGACACTCTTTGTTAACTTTGAGCAGTGTAGCATCTTCTTGAATTTGGTACTCTAATAACTTGAAACAAACTTATTGAATTTGTTTTTTCAAATTTGACAAAAATGAAATAAACAAATCTTAAAGTTTAATATGATCACATTAATAACTCTGACAATTCTAACCCAAGCTAGCATTATTTTAGTTAGCAATGAGATAACATTTTATTGATTATAATGTTGATGTTTCTAATAACTTTATACTAATGAACATTTCTAGCAATTTGTAGTTTACAAAATGATTTCAAAAGCACTATTTTATTTGACATTCATAATTACCCTTTGAGTAGGTATTACAGCTACTATATCCATATTAAATACTTAGGGAAACTGGGACTCAAATTTATTAAAAGACTTGCTCAAGGTTCACCTGTCTATCAAGTAGTGGAACAGGGATACAAATTTCATTCTTCTGGATCAATATCCTGGAACTTTTCCATAGTATCATGAGGCTACAGAGAAAAATCAAACTAATATAAATACTTGATGCTAGGGGAAAAAACCTTGATATCTGGACTCTCAATAAATTTTGTCAATAATATGTTTTGCCAAGTTTATGTGAAAATGGATCTACATAGTTCTTCATTTTAATATTTATTTTCTTACAATGTACAGGACTGTACTATATGAATGTTGCCCTGGTTATATGAGAATGGAAGGAATGAAAGGCTGCCCAGCAGGTAAAATCTCAGTTTCCTGAATTAAATGAGGAACTTGTCTTGTGCAAGGAAAAAGTTGAGGTAGCTTGTGGAGACGCCTTGTGTGTGTGTGTGTGTGTGTGTGTGTGTATTTAGCACCATCATAAATCCAAGATCTATCCCTCATATCTTTGTGTTAATCATGAATTTACCTATGGTGATCAAAATATAGAACACCTTCTCATGCACTGATGGTGGGCAATACCACAGAAGCTTAGTAAAATTTAAATTAGTTCGGCTTCCCTCGAGAACAAATCTTCCTCTACAAAATCCCCTTTCTTCTCAACCTTGTCGGGGAATAAAAACCTCACTACTTGGCAAGGAATCATTTTCTCTGGTTGAACAGCTCTGGTTTATAATGTTTCTTGATTGAAATTTGGTTTCCTGTAACTCTGCCAACAAGAGAAAAAAAGTTTCATCTATTTCCTTTCTGAGATGACAGTCATCAGATACTTAATGACAATCATTGTGCCCTACCTCCAGATAACCTCTCATCCCCAACAGGATCCCCTCTTCTCTGGCTGATCATCTGGTTCTCGTAGTGACATGGACTCTGCAGTCCTCCACCATGACCACCAACTCATGGAAAGTCCCAGTCCAGTAATATTTTTCTGACTGTAATCCCAGACTAATATCTATAATGCATGTGGTTCTGAGCACTAAGCGAGTATCAAGACCATGTCATTGTAACCATGTCATATCATTAGCTCATAGTTGAGTTTGTAACAATTAAAGTTGATTACAGGTTATTTACTGAACATTATCAAGTCAAGGCTCTCTAAGGTTTGTTTTATTAATTTAGACATAGGATTTACATAGAACATTGTTAAATTAATCTCGCTTATTTTGACATCATTCCTCAATCTTTTGGGGGTCTTTTTAAATCCTGGTTTATAATTTTAATTATGTACGTAAGTCTTGGGATATCCACAAGTGTAATGGCCATGTTCTCCCTATATAATCAAAAGATACTAACGTTCCAAGATCATGATAGGAGTCAGAAAAATAATTTGGCGGTCACATTACTAGAAAATCCCATCTGCGTACAGTCATACATAGCTTTCTTTCTGAGTGCTGCAGGAGAATATTGCTGGAAGCATTAGACACTTTGATCTCCTTTACTTCTAATATTTAAATGGAACAAGCAGGTCTACATATTCTTTAGAAACCAAAATCTATAGAAATTATAATTCAAATAATATTTGATATTTAATATAATGGGATTATTACCGACAATAGGCCAGAATTGAGACCTAAAGGACTAAATGTAAACCAGGCATCGGGTACTTAATATTTATTTTTCATCAACACAAAGATACTATGAATAAAGAGTTTTCAATAGTACTTTATTATTTAGCATTCAAAAGGCATCATCAATAAAATGATGATCATAGAAGTATTGCAAATTTGTTAATTAAATGTATGGAAACTTAATGAAAGTTTAAATGATTATGAAATATATATCGAAAATATCATCCTCAGTACTTATTCATTCTTGATTATTTCAGTTTGCCCATCGACCATGTTTATGGCACTTTGGCATCGTGGACACCCACAACACAGCGCTATTCTGATGTCCAAAACTGAGGGAAAGATCGAAGAGCAGGATCATTCAACTTACTCGCACCAAGTAACGACGCTTGGGACAATTTGATTCTGTAATTCATTATTTTATCAATATATTTATTGTTTGTTCTTATGTATTTCATTTTATTTATTAAGTTCAATATTAATAGATATTCATGGTGTGTATATGAGCTGCATAAAGAGACGAGTTATTGATGGAAGAAAACATTTTACTACACAAAAACAGAAAACTCCCCAGTAAGACTTAAGACTAAAAAAAAAAAAAAAGCAAATCGAGAATGAACAGAAGGGCATTATATTCTATTTACTTTTTTCTTCTTTCCTTCTTATTTATGAGAAATATTTATAATTTCAGATGACATATCTAATATAAATAAGTTAAAAGCCTAGTGGAATTTAAAACCTATCATAAATATATTACATAGCTATATTTATTATGTATGTTAATATATGTAAATATATATGCTCTTCAGAAATTTCAGATTTGCAAACATGTGTGATGTTTAAGTGAAATGTTGTAAACAATACACTTGATTTCCAAGCTTATGTGCACTGTCTAATTCTACAACACACAAATTATGACTCATTTCCAAATCAGTAAGACTATATAGAAATATGTTCCTACATTCTACTTGATGTGAAGATGATTGATGATATTACTAATTCAAAGATACTAAAATTAGCCATAGTCCTGTAGACATTATCTGCACATTAGCTCATGGGTAGTTGCTTGCATTATAAAGCTCTCTCTCTGATTGTTTTCACATCTCTAACCACTTCCCAAGTTCCTTTTTCTGATCTCTTGTCCTTACCTTAAAGAAAATTTCATAAAATCTCTTCCAGAACTTAATTCTGCTATTTAAATGCACTCTGATAGTTCCACTATCACTTACTGTGTATAGCCATGAAATCTGTGGTTGTTGTACTTGTCTTCTGGAGCATTTCAAATCCATCTAGTATTTCTCCTTGGATATGCCATTGCATTTTTTTTAAAAAAGGTATCTAAAATGTATGCATTTTTGCTCCATAAATAAGCTTTTCTGTGATCTTTTTTCCCAATTGGAAGTGACAGTCTCAATGTTCAGACTTGAAAATGTGATGATCCTTACCTCCCTCTCCCAATTTTTACAATTGCCTGTTTGCATCATAGTGAGGTTTTGTTTCATCAAAGCAATATTCCAACCAATATCCTCTTTCTGCTCTGCATTACCATTCAATTTGCCTTCCTGAGGCCTTGTCCAATTATAAATTCCAACCACCAAAACTCAGGGTTCCATTGCCATTTAGTTTACTCTTATCCAGGCATATAAAGTCCGCCGCCATTATTGTCCAGCCGATTTTCTAATCTTTCTTAATGATTATCTGAAGAGAACATAGAAATATATGGTAATACACCTAGTAACATTGCTCTCCCAAACACTCTATATCAGAAGTCAGAACACTGGACTTAGAATGACCACCAACCGCCATTCCTACTTATACTATCATCTTCAAAATCTATCTCAAACTATTATAATCTTTCCAAAAGCTGCCTTCCTTTATTGATCCCTGAAAGCCATTTTCTTTCTCCTCTGTCCTAATATCTTATTATGTTTACTTTTACTGCTGCGATATATAAGTATCCAATGGAGAAACATTCACTATCATTTGATTCCGTAGTTTGAGTTCAGCATTTATAATACACGTAATTGCATAGAAAAGAGTACAGAATGCAATTCTTAATTTGTATGTATAGAATGTAAAAACACTTACAAAACTCAAGTGTTTAATTGCAATATCATGTCATGTTTGTTGTTGTTTCACCATTAAAATATAAATATCTGATAATTTAATCCCAAGTCTTAATCTTATCACTTTATAAGATATCTTATGTAGATGAATCTAAAAAAATTGTTCTGTCCAAGCACTTTATCAAATTCAGGACCCTTAACTGGGTACCTGAACTTATAAAGTTCCTTAACCAATTGGAATAGTATGATGTTAAGTTATTTATTTCAATTCTATATGATCATCTGATTATGCAATGAGAAAAGAACAAGAGAGTAGAAATAGGGTAATCAGTAGAAAGACAGTGATCAGAAGACTTTTAATAATGAACCGCAATAAATTAAATTTCTATCATTTCAATTTTTTCTAGGATATCCGTAGAGGTTTGGAGAGCAATGTAAATGTTGAATTATTGAATGCTTTACACAGCCACATGGTTAATAAGAGAATGCTGACCAAGGACTTAAAAAATGGCATGATTATTCCTTCAATGTATAACAATTTGGGGCTTTTCATTAACCATTATCCTAATGGGGTAAGTTCATTAATAAAAATTACATTTCTGAGAATTCTTTCCTTTAATTTTGTTTATACCTTTTATATAATGTTCATAAAAATGATAAAATGTTAGTGAGAATAAGTGCTGTATTATGACTTTCCCCCAAATCTAGGTCATGTAAATTTTCAATCTAGTTACTAATTTTTAGTAAAGAATGATTATGAAGGATAAATGACATGAGCAGTTCATTGGCAGTAGACTTAGGTATTCTAAAAAAGGTTAATAGTTTATGTATTTGAAATAATTTAAAGATAGGCAAAAGAATAAACAGAAAATGAGCGTTCTTTTATTCACCCTCTATCTACTGTAGCAATGGGGGTTCTTGTGTGTTTGGATCAGTTTTTGTGGAAAACTGCCAGCAGGGTCATAGGACTCTTTGACAGTCAAATTCTCACGCACAAAATAGGTCAGTGATGAAGCAATATTTAGGAAGTTGTTGTATTAGAACTGTTTATATTTCTCTAATAAATATGTGTTTATCTTTCTCACTTGTTTTAGAATTAGTCTTCTTTATGTATTTCATTGACTTACATTAAAATAGTTTATCACTATCTACATAAAAGAAAAAGAAGAATAAAAGTAATAATTTGAATGAAAAAATACTTTGACTTATGTTTCCAGATATGTTAAGTATGACTGGACTTGGTTCTGAACTGGTTCCATTTTCTTTTAGTTCTTAATTAAGATACAGCAATATATAAGTCTTCCTCCACATCATTTACATTTAGAACGTAGGTTTCTTTATGTTACATTTACTAGTATGAATGAAAAACTGGGAAAGGGGTTTGCCGTTTGCAGTCTCAGTGGTCAATGGATAGCTCTGATTTCTGTACTTTGATTTTTCCAAATAATTACAGGTTGTCACCGTGAATTGTGCTCGAATCATCCATGGGAACCAGATTGCAACAAATGGTGTTGTGCATGTCATTGACCGTGTCCTTACACAAATTGGGACCTCAATTCAAGACTTCATTGAGGCAGAAGATGAACTTTCATCTTTCAGAGTAAGTCCAAGAGAAGATTATCTTGGATCATTGAAATCCCTCCTCTTACCTTGTCAAAATCTAGGAACATGTGGCTATCCAATTTTCCCAGCACAATTTATTGAATAAGGAATCTTTTCCCCAGTGTATGTTTTTGTCTGCTTTGTCAAAGATCAGATGGCAATATGAGGATGGTTTTATATCTGGGTTTCGATTTGGGTGGGGCAAAGGTAATATGTGTAACCTAAACATTTGTACTCCCACAATATTCTGAAAAATAATCTAAGAACAATAAAAATGCTATTAAACATATCTGGCAGAAATATAGCAAACATATTTCTTGAAATGAAACTGTCTTCATTTATACAAGAGAAATCATCTCATCAAATAATATTTTTGTGGACATGGTAGATAAAGAATAATTAGTTATGTGACTGTCATGTCTTTAGTGCTTAGAATGTGTTCACTTCAGTTATTATATGTACTGCTGAATATCGCTACAGTCACACAAACATTGGCAGAATTCCCATTCTTGCAAACATAATTTGAGGAAAGTTGGAAGATGTAGATGGCTGCGCTAAAATGTAATGTTTTAAAGATCTAATAAGAACAAACAACTATAGTGAAGGAATCAACTCCCTCATGTCAGCCTGGGCTTAATTTTCTTTTGGGTTTGCCATGTGCAAGCCTCTGAAAAGCACATTTGTGTTTCAGGCAGCTGCCATTACATCGGACATATTGGAATCCCTTGGAAGAGATGGTCACTTCACACTCTTTGCTCCTACCAATGAGGCTTTTGAGAGACTCCCACGAGGTGTTCTAGAAAGAATCATGGGAGACAAAGTGGCTTCTGAAGGTAGTATGATGTTTCCTCTCTGAGAAGTCGCCTAGCATTCTGAGAAGAAAAGGAAATGAAAAAGGGACTAGTTCTTGCCCAAAATATCAGCTTTGATAAGCAAAGGAAAAAAAAAAACTTATTCTGATGTGCATTATAAAAGTCTTTTAAAAAAAAATCCTTGAAAGAATAGGCAGAGTATAACTGTTAATAATAAGAAGAATATCCTTATTCTTATTAAGAATAATAATTCAGGTAAATAAGTAGCAGATATTCAAATGGATTAGCAAGTGTTGAAAAGAAATATTAGATCATTGAAGTTCAATGTTGCATACATATTACACAATGCTTTTAATTTTGGATTTATGCCAAAAGATATAATTGAGTTGAGAAGATTTTATGGTTCTCTTGAGTCACTAATTATTGATACACAGAAGAATTTAGCTGCTTTTCTGTTGCCTTTTCTATTGTGAGATAGATTTGACTTTGTGTAGGCACATTACATGTACTTGGCCTAACCCAAAATGTATTTAACCAATTTAAGATGAGCTATTTTTAAGATATAGGATAGATATAATATACTTGAGGCATAGATCCTTCCAGATGTCCTTCCAGAAATCATCTTTATTTTGGCTACTTTCTAAACGTCTTTAGGAAATGATTTGTCTTAGCCTCTTTCAACCTCATTACAAGTTATGTATAGATACTGTCATCAGCAGTTAATGCAAGATACTGCTTGGGTATTTTGGAATAGGTGTCACTAACAAATAACTGTAGAGGCCTTCTGAAAGGACCGATTCACATCAGGAATTACATTCTTATGAAAGTTGGAACTGAATCTACCACATTTTCTAGTACTGCACAAACCATTTCCTAAAATGGATCTTCTCTTCTTATTTCCTACCAAGCTGAGCTGTTCCTAAGGTGTAGTTTATGGGGAAAAAAAAAAAAACTTTTCTAGAACATGAACAATTAGGATTTTAAAACCTTCAGTCAATCCTTAGGTCTTACCTCTGTATTATATTTCATAGGAATACTTAGTTCCACAATAAAACACATCTTTGAAGGGTCAAATGTTATTTCCTTTGGTCTGAAAGCTTGCTCTTTTTATTTTGTCCTCCAGCTCTCATGAAGTACCACATCTTAAACACTCTCCAGTGTTCCGAGGCTATTATGGGAGGAGCAGTCTTTGAGACCCTAGAAGGGAACACGATTGAGATAGGATGTGATGGTGACAGCATAACAGTAAACGGAATCAAAATGGTCAACAAAAAAGATATTGTGACAAATAATGGTGTGATCCATCTGATCGATCAGGTCCTAATTCCTGATTCTGGTAAGCAACAGTTCATATTTTTTATGTACTATTATTTACCAATAATAGTGTCCCCAAAAGTAAGTCCATGAAAAGATGAATGTGCAGTGAAAAGAAAGGCATGTGAATCACAAACCCCATAAACAGTGAGCTAAGGACTAAATAGTGGCCAATTGTAATGGCCACTCATGGAACTTTGGCTTTCCAGGGTTTCTAACATCTCGTATTTATAAAGGTTCTCACAGTGCCAGTTTTTCTTGAACACAGAAGGAAAGACATAACTAAATGTCTCTGGATAAATGAAAGCTATGACACGCACAGGGTGGAGAGAGATGAGAAGAGCAACAGATAATTAAAAAAAACTGTTAAGTAGGAAGACAGAAAAATATTTTCCTTCTGAAACTTGTGGTTATCAACCCCCCAAAACGAAAGCGGGAACTGTCTTCCTAGAGAAGGGCAGCATGTCTTATCACACTGACATTCCAGTAAATAGCTTACAATATTAGGAAATAGCCAAGAATTGATTTACTAATTTTGTAATGAAGATAATAGCAATGATGACATTGTTTGGATGGTGATGGTTTATTTTGCAGCCAAACAAGTTATTGAGCTGGCTGGAAATCAGCAAACCACTTTCACAGACCTTGTGGCCCAATTAGGCTTGGCATCTGCTCTGAGGCCGGATGGAGAATACACTTTACTGGCACCTGTGAATAATGCATTTTCTGGTATGTACTGGTTGGTGTTGTTCCTGCTCTCTCTTCACACACATTTTTTTTTTCTTTACTGTGATTGTTTGCAACAAGAAATAATAACTGATTTACAAGGTGTTGATTAGTTTCTACATTGGCTACACATACAATGTGTTAGCACTATGTTGTCTTTGCTAAAATGTTCAATTAAAAACATTTCGTTGTTATGGTTAATAACTTACAAGGAGCAAAATAGGAGTAATTCAGTTATTCTGTGACTGTAATAATATTTCTAGCATACCTAAGTTTGCATTATTAGATCTTAAGAAAAATAAATCTGATTTGTGGACACCAACATAATATATTTAGAAATAAATAGGTATATTAGGCATCTAAAAATTTAGACAATAGGAATGTCAAATTATAAAGAAATAAAACAAGAGGCTATTATACATTTCCATATCCTGATGTAAAATATTATACAAGTATTTCTTTCACCTAGCAGCCACTATTCATACTGTTTAGATTAATGTAACCTATCACCTTTCCCAGAAAAATGATTTCACAAAGACATATTTAAATTTTTAGGCAAAATTTAGTAATCAAAAAATGAGTAACATATATTTTATGTTTTTCTAAATACTAAATTGTGATACAGAAAATTATTAATCAGAAAAAAATTCAAATTCCTTGAAATGCTGGTTTTCTTCTTTATAATAATTATAGTCACATATTTTGACATTAACCCATATTAAGAGGTTGTGTGCTTTGACTCTCTACCCAGGAATAAAGATGAATTTACAAATAATCCATCACTAGTCTTTCATGTGATTAACTAACATCTAATTATCAGACAAAATCTTGGCTACCAATAGAGTTTAGCTTTTGCTAATGACCACATATGACCACCATAAAACTATATAACTCTGCAGAGATGAAACTCAATGTTTGAATTGCTTGGAACTATGCTATCGTCATCTGATTTAATAGGTTGCAGAGTTTCCACTTGGTGAATTGAGTTGCTAGTCTTGGGCACTTACTTGACTCATATATTCTATGAATGTAAGATCCATAAATATCAATAGTATCAGGGATTATCCATTTTCATGATTTTTCTCTCATCAGGAGAAACTTCAGTATTTTCTCATAAAATAATGCTCTTTCTTAATGAATTTATTTATAGATGATACTCTGAGCATGGATCAGCGGCTTCTTAAATTGATTTTGCAGAATCACATATTGAAAGTAAAAATTGGCCTTAATGAGCTTTACAATGGACAAAAACTCGAGACCATTGGAGGCAAACAGCTCAGAGTCTTCGTGTATCGTACAGTAAGTGAATCAGAACAAGATAAAAACTCCACATTGACCTAAATGTGAAATGACCTGCACATGTTAAAGAAGGTTATTACAACGAATGTTTTGCAGAATTTTATGAATGTAAGTGAACACTCACTACTATTAAGTGAGTGTTCATAGGAGGATCAGGGAACTGGGTACTTGGGTGAAAAACCTGAGGAAAGTACAAAAACTGCTGTGTATTAATAACTCAGAAAGTCAGCATGTATTTCATTATAAATGACTTTGTGTTCTAAAATATTAATTATTTTAAATTCCAGAAAGTACTAAAACCCCTGTAAAATAAGCTTTTCATTGGTAGAGTACTTTACAATCAAATATGTAGGATGATCTTTTACTGTAAGATAATCTTCAGCAACCAAACCCCTTTTGAATGACTTTCAAGATAAACATGTACTGACACATAGAGATTTCCTGACTCTATAAAACAGTGCTAATATACTTTTATCTGTAGGAAAATTTCTAGAAATATTGCTTATCAAAATTACAGTGCAACGAGCGGTTCTGTTCAGCGTCTGTCCAGGTAACACATGCAGCTGAAGCTAAAATCCTTCACAAGAAGTCAATCCTTACTTAGAACTGATCATAGCATGCAGTAGCTGCTCACTGTGGCTTCCCAATCTCAAGGCACACATATTTTTAATTGTGTACCACATGGGCTGCAGTTTAAATTATACATATACATATATTACATTTTTCAAAAAGCTATAAATCTATCAATAATTTGACTTAAAACTGATAGGCTCTTATGGTCAAGAAAATAAAGTAAATATTTGTGAAGATCACAAAAGACACTTAAGTCAGGAAACATTGTGGTTAATGTTAACCAAAAAGAGGATCTGAAAGAATAGTTCAAACCTGGAGAGAAATGATAGAAAATGTAGAAGTGGAATTCTTTAGAATTTTTGTAATTTATTGACAAAACTACCTGCTCTATGCATAGGGTAGCTTGAGTTGTAGCAGAACACCTGGCTGGATAAGAAATGTGAGGTCAGGTTGCGTAGACATTGAAAACAGAGGACAGAAGCTGTTTCCTCTGGCTTCAGAGGTCAGGTGACCTCTCAGAAGGGCCAATCTAGAAATTCAAATATGCAGCTACAGGCACATGGGAAATTTTGAGCAAGGAAAAGGACACCACATATCTTTCTTTTCTCTGTCTTTTCTCTGCTAGGCTGTCTGCATTGAAAATTCATGCATGGTTAGAGGAAGTAAGCAAGGAAGAAATGGTGCTATTCATATATTCCGAGAGATCATCAAGCCAGCAGAGAAATCTCTCCATGAAAAGTTGAAACAAGATAAGCGCTTTAGGTAAGTCTATTAGTTGCATCTCCACAAAAAAATGAGAACTAGTGGCATATTTTTTGTTTCACAGTTAGCATTCCAAAAAGCATTCAGTCTCCAGTATTGCTGAGAATAGAATTTAGAATAAAAAGTTTATACAAATGTTTTCAAAACTGATATATATATATATCTTTTTTATAAATGCTATTTATTTTGCCTCCTGATAAAACATAATATGATTTGGTGGGTGAAAAAAATCCACCAAACTCATAAACTCAACTATTCCTTGAAATTTTTCTTGTAATTAGCTTTTCCAATGATAGTATATATCAGCAAAGACTATTTTGTGGAGGTCTTAAATGAAAAAAAAATATTCAATTCTGTTATAAAGTGTGACCTTGTCAAGTTTTATAAGATTAAAACAGAGATGAACAAATTTAAACTTTATACTGTGTATTTCAATCATTTTCTCACGATAAAACTTTCATAGGTAAATTTGAAATATATGAAAATGTATGAGCAGTTTTCTCATTCTTTCCACAATACATGGATTTTATTCTATTATATGTGTGCTTTAGGTGAATATACCTACACCTAAATCTAACCAAATAAATAGACATCCTTCCTGCTTAGCATCTTCCTCAGCCTCCTCGAAGCTGCAGACTTGAAAGAGCTCCTGACACAGCCTGGAGATTGGACCTTATTTGTGCCAACCAACGATGCCTTTAAGGGAATGACTAGTGAAGAAAAAGAAATCCTGATGGGTGAGTAGAAATGAATATCAGATATTTGCCCCTTGATTTCAGGATCTTCCTTCTTTCTCAAGCGTTCCTGTCCAGATGTCAGCACCCCCACACACACAAAAAAGGCCCTTCTTTTGTATTCACAGCTAGATTTGGTTTCCTTTAATTCCACTTGGGATGTGTGGAGGGTCCCTCAGTAAAGTTCTTAAACCGCTTACTGCCACATTGTTGAGCTAGATTTTCACTTTTGTTATTTCTATTAAGGTCCACATAATTTGGTGACAAAGAAGGAAATAGTCATAATTTCAAAAATAATTTGATGTTTTCTCCCAGTAAGTAGGGTAATATTGATTGATTGATTGAAATGATTGTATGTTTTAACATACCATTGATATGAACTTGAGAGAACAAGGACATTTTGAGAAAATACAGTGTGGAATAAAAAAGACAAGGAAATCTTTTGTTCTTTACTCTTTGTACTATTAAAATGTCATATTGTTAAATAAATATATATCTTTCCTTTTAGGGGACAAAAATGCTCTTCAAAACATCATTCTTTATCACCTGACCCCAGGGGTTTTCATCGGAAAGGGATTTGAACCTGGCGTTACTAACATTTTAAAGACCACACAAGGGAGCAAAATCTTCCTGAAAGGAGTAAGTTGTCTAGAATAAATTTAAGACAGTGTTAATCCAGTGTTAAATTATCTTAATGTCCTTCATTAAATTTCTCATTGGCATTACCTATTTTGATAGGTAAATGATACACTTCTGGTGAACGAATTGAAATCAAAAGAATCTGACATC